AATGCCAGGAAGTACTGTGTTGACCTTTATGTGTAAAACACTTTTAATAGAGAACGATTCATAGCAATTTACAAAGTGTGTTCTGACCCCCTGGGGAGATGGCCGTCATTTCCGAGAGCCATTTCAACTTGTATTCCATTGCTGAACATCCTAACAAACACATTTTTTTCCCCATCTCTACATTGATTTTTCACTTCAGTGTAAAGGGAAGTTTGTTTTAATGTTAAGTTGTCACAGAACAGTGTTTCGGAGAGTATTAGTCATGCAAAGTGGCAGGCCTGGCACAACCTCGGCAGTCTAAATATAGATCTGCTGCCTAAATATAGATCAAACATTGTCTGGTATCAACACACATCTTGCTGTCCATATGCCCCACCTCCTGCCTCCCAGAGCTTCAAGCACAGTCGCACATGGCCCGTCGTTCACGCCCCCCCCCCCCTGTGGCTGCGGTTGAGAGGCTGGTGCCCGTGCTTCTCCAATTTGGGAGTCAAAGTGCTTTCACAAGCCTCACTGACACACTGGCTTTTATGGATGAAAAATGGATGAGGAGGTGAATTTGTGGCAGGCAGTCTGCAGAGGGGAACTGCAGAAGATCCTTCTCCTGGTGGAGAAACATTCCAGCCTATGAAAACCGAGAAACCTTTTATTACATAAAATGCAAAATATTAAATATTATGCATCATGCATGCATGCATGCATGCATACATGGTTTCATGCATCCATCAATCCATCCATTTTCTGTACCTGCTTGTCCAATGGAGACTCACAGTGGTCCGGAGCCTACCCCGGAAGCACCGGGCCCAAAGCAGGAAAGAACCCAGGATGAGGCGCCAACCCATTGCAGGCCAACTGCGTGTGTTCCACATCTGAATGCTCTTCTGCTCCACTGGCACAGTGACAGTCTTTTTTCTGCCACCTTGTGGTCAAATTGAAGCATTTGCATGAAAACACTTCCAGTCATGCTTGTTATAGACTTCAGGGGGCGCTAAAGGACAGTGGCAAATGGCATTGCACTACATGTTTGTCCAATGCATAATGCATTTAACGGGAGTTTGTAATTATTTTGATCGCTCCCAATAGGACCCTTATCCAATGTAAATGCAAATAATAAAAACCAAAAAGTCTGAACGCAGAAACCTTCAAATATGAACTGAAACACTCTTTTTCACTTAAGCAATTTCCTCCAGGATAATACAACTGTTCTGATTCAGATTTTCTCTTTAAGGCTTAAAAAAAGATTACTGACAAAATATGGATCACAGACTATTATGATTATAAGACGCACTGCGTTTTCTGTCATGGTTACCTTCTTGCCATCTGGTGCCAGATGCAGTGTTGCACAATTGAGGGGAATTGACTGATCTTCAGAAGCAGAAAAGTAATCATAACCGCTTGGGTATGAGACACGTAACTGTTGTACCTGGCTCATCCGCGCAACATGACGAAAACCAGGGCTTTGAACAGGACCTGCATGTCTTTGACAACACCCTCCTTGATATGCACGAGGATTTATTTTGAGGACGTCCACCTCTGAAGTCCCCTCCCTTTATCTTGTAAGCATAGTTTTCCTCTTAGCTGGTGAATAACAAACATTCCCTTTTACATTTATCTGGAACTCTCAAAATAATTCGGTGCCATGTCCATTTTCCCACATGGCTTTGGTGGGACTCCAGAGGTGATTAGAATTCACTGCTGTTAGGCAACCCGATGGTATTTCCAGTTGGCATCAATCGTACTCATACTTGTACAAGGACGTAGGTAGTACTGAAGAAGGTGCATGATCCTTTTGGCCCATAATTTCCAGATGACAATACATCCCCGTGAAATACAGCAGCTGTTTAATCAATTCCTACTCGACTCACTGCCCTGGCAATTCCTTTTATGTCCCTGCAGTTAATGTCTGTCCAGATCCCACTAACATCACCATCCAGAATCTCAGCTCACAAACCTCTTTTTGTGGCGACACAAAGGCTCTTATGTAGAGCTTTGTCCTCAGCTTGCCGCCTCCTCGGTCCCTCTGGCAGCCCACGGCAGCAGAAGGCCACGTGGAACATGCTGATATCCCCTCACGTTCCTCCCCAGAGCATCGAGGGCCGGAGATGTGAACGCTCACGCGTGGCACAGAGTGATGGAAACTCGACACCTACCTCTTATTTACTTAACCTCCACGAGGTTGGTCGTCGGAGCAAAAACCAGCAGGTCTGCCCGGGAGCTCAGACAAACAAAGCCGGTCTTTACGGATTGCTATTGGGCACAGAGAGGTTCCCACTGAGAGGGATGCAGAGTCAAAGAAAAGCTGCAGGGTCTTCATTTAGCTCCACCTCAGGTGGAGAAGGATGCTATTTACACAAAATGATGTTTGCAATACGGCATAATCAGCTTGTACAGGAAAACCAAATGAGTGCATGTGGAGGGCCTCCACATGATGGTGCTGTCCCATGGACACATCCCCTATCAAGGGAGCGAGCTTTATTCTGTGGTAAGTAGATGTGTAGGAGCCCCCATAAGTGGCACAGACTGGCTTGCATTCCCATACCACTGCCAGTCTCCTTCTTCCTATCACTACACCCTATGCCTAATTTATGGCTGTACCTGTACAAAGAGTATAAATAATGCCCACCTTCAAGCATGTTGCGCGGCCTCTGCAGTAAAAAGTACCCTAGTCTGAAACCCAGTTAGTACAAGTGTTGTATGTTAAGAGGAGACTTACACAATGTAGAGAACTGGTAGCTCAAAACTGGTTCAAACTTGACTGCTCAACAGAGCAGTTATCAACACAAAAAGGTGGTCAGCTACAAACCACTTCTTCAACGCTGTCCTCTGATCAGTCTCAGAGTATCATCTGATTGCCCACAGACAGATATGCCCACTCTGACCAGTGCTGGCTCCCCACATCCCTCAAACCCCACCCTCAAGGGCATGCCTTGCTGTATTTTAGAATGAGGGCCGTCAACAGTCGAGTGCCAGTAAAAACAGCTGCCTGGTCCTGCCTCTCCCAAAAGCTGCCGGAATCTTCTTCATCTGCTGGATGTTCCTTCAGACATGAGGTCTGCTGCATTAAACGTGGATTTTGAAGAATTCTACACAAAGCTGACACTTTTTCCTTTTAGGCCACACTGAGTCAAGTAATCTACCCACTGTTTGTAACAAACACTTGGACGTTTCTGATAAAAGGCATAACAGATGCCTTTTTAGACAATAGGTTGCCTGTTAAAAGCTTGGCTTATGGATTTATGTCTCCTATAAATACGAAAAGAAAACATTTGTTTATCTTGCTTAGTTTTGTCATTGTCCTTTTAAAAAATATATGTATGAATTCATGCACTTGGGTTTTCAGGGGTAAGTAATAATGGGGATAGAAGACAAGGATTTCAGCTTAATGTCATATTTATCACTGCCTGCTTTAACTGAATAGGAACTATACAGAGACATAACAATGAGAACCCCCTTCTGTGAATGACAGTACAGGATTAAAAAGCTCCTTTCTCACTAACTTTCATGGCCCTTTCATATGAAAGCACTGTATTCTGAGGGCACATATAGGACTTAACATCACACGTTCCTCCTTAGCACTGGTGTGCAGTCCTGTTTCAAGTGGGTCCATGTTTTTTCCAGCCATAAGGGGAGATTGAAATTTTGACTGAATCAAGGTTCCACTTATGTTACTTAATGGTCCAAAGCTACAACAGAACAACAATACACAGCTATGGTACACTTACACAAGTACCTAGATGATCAAGCTGGTCACACCAAACTACTCTTTCAGGCACCTAAAGCTAAAAAGTTAAGATAATACAAATGAATAGACTCGTGCCCTTAACGTTTCTCGTAGGATCTTGTAGGTATCAGCAGATTAAATATCTAGATATTTAAAATTTAACGGGCCAATCAATCAATCAACAAGAAACAAAGACCATGATTCATAGGTCCTGGCAAACCACGTATTTAATCTAATCAGTCGGAGGGATACGTCATGTAAAGCAGGGTCACCAACTTCGGTCACCTGGCTGACGTGAGATTTTCACTTCCAGACAAGTCTGCCCACTCATTTAAATGTATGTAAGAGTTTTGTCAATTGTAATTACTCTGTAGGGTTTGAAAACTACCCCAACGGTTTTGATGTAGCTAATTTTAGGTTTATAATGGAATAATATAGATTTGCCGTAAGATTTCTTGCGTACGTGAGTTTCACGTCAGATGCGTGAGAGTTGAGAACCCTGTGTAAAGTGATTTAAATAATGAAATCCTGTCACCGTTAAACGGTAATCAACGCTTCTGATGACAGTCTTGTGGTATTTAAAACATTTTTAAAATAAATTCTACAATTTCGGCTACAGGCACCATTATATCTCGTCAAGCGAACTGATTTACGTTTAATTAAAAAATACTGCACGATATGATTTATATCTACAATTAAAACTGGAAAACGGAATAGCAGGAAACAGATACTTGAGTTGCTGTGATTGGCCACTAGGGGTCAACAAAAGCCAAAAAACAAGTATTTAAAAGTTTCTGCACTCTTCATACGACAAAACTGAATATTCCAAGTTTCTCGTTGGTATCACGTAAACGCCACTCCTACTTTAAAGAGCTCATGTTGCTATAAAACGTCCATAAAACTATTTATTATTAATCTGATGCATAGACGTATTTTTTTTTGGCTTATAAATCTGATACATGCATTATTTTTCCATATATATATATATATATAAAAGCTACGGATCGAAATCAGTATCCAGTGGGAATGCTTGTTTTGGCTCTTCATTTAACGGTTGGCCATTGACACTGACTTTTGTCGCCGACGTACCTGTTTTTAGCAGGCTCTCTCGCCATATGCGAACGGAACACATGTCTTATGTTACTAGCACGTAGTAGCCCGACTGGTCGCTAGCCCAATGAGACATTTCTACACAGCCTTTGCCAGGCAAACCTCCCGATCTAACTATCCCAGCAGATTTAAGATCCGCCTACTGAGGCGCGCTCGCTGAACTGCCATTGAAGACCAGTGTGACGGAGGTGATTCAACAAGTGGCCTCTTTGCCTTCAGCTCTAGTCTCCAGCACAAGGCTTTCTTGGATTAACTCTGGGTCGTGCCGGAGAAGTGATCGGCAACGACGGCGGACTTCTGGGCTGATTACAGCAAATAAAGCGCCCGCGATAATGCGAATTTGTTCGTGCTGACTTTTTAGCGGACACGGACACGGACACGGCTATGCCTCTCAGGGCGCTAAGTTGGAAGTAATTGCAGCGAAGATCGAGGTAAGTGCCGTTTAAAAAGATTCACATCTCATGCACACAAATTGCATTCGGATTGCGACTGTAAATGCGGTTTATAAATGCAGATCAGGTGCCAGCCTGTCCTAAGGTCCGCATCAGTGCGCTACCGCATGTGCACCGCATATGAAAACTCTTTCTATACCATCACAATGTAAGCCAGTATTTTAATTTGCACGTCCTTGATCAAGGACCAATAAAGAGTGGTTTTTAAATCTTTCTTTGTGACCTACTGCATCAAGTGGGGCGATCCTGGGTCTTAACGCGCTTGCCCGGATCCCGACTCACGGCACTGACCCTGCGCTGGTTCTGTGACTTAGGCCGAGTCCAGTCCCCTGAAAATTAAATGGTGGAGCTCCAGGCTCCACGCTTTGGGCTCTTGGATGAAGCCCGTCGCCCTTTGTCTCATCTGGAAGCTCAGTGGCTGCGGGTTTGATTCCTATTGTACCGCAGCCCATAATCCTCCGTGCGCGTCGACCGGTAGCTGGTATTCGTATTCCGAAAAAGTTAAATTAATTAGTTAATAAATTAATAAACAAAATCGCAATACAGTGAATACTCTAATGTAAAAAAGACAGTTTTATAGATGGTCATTATTACATTACGGCCGGTTAGAGTATGTTTAAACTTAACTTTAAACTGTGAATTGCTTACCTCGCGTAAAACGACACTCATTGTGTCCAATACATTTTGAGGAAGTATTGCATTAAGCTGTGTAGCAAGGTGTTAAGTTTGGCCATTGTGCAGAAGCCTGATTAACAAGCTCGGTGTTACGGCTTCGTGATCATTACATGTTTCTGTCCCTCAGATTTCAGGCTGCTTGTTTTCCAGACATACATCAGCTTGAAAATTCAGTTTCAGATCACAGTCTCTTCTGGATATTTAGGGGGAAAAAAACCCTGAAGATTATTAGAGTCAGAGCAGCTGCCGTGCCTCGGATATCTGAGATGTTTCAAATTCTCCTGGAGTGTCCTATGATTTGGGGTGCCCAGCTTTCTCCAGACAGATCTATCTTTGACCTTCTGGTGTCCTAAAGTGAATCCTATATTGAGAAACAACAGTGCATGCTCCCCAACCCGACCTGATGTCGTATTTGCGTGATGGATGACGCCATTAAGATGGATATGCATCAGTGACCTAGCTTCGTTTCTTCTTTATGCTAATTTATGATGTCAGAAGTCAAGTTGAAAGTCAGTCTAAGCTCAATATATAGAAATTGTGTTGTTTTTGCAGGACTAAATCACACAGTATATTTGTAAGGAACATTGCCTCGGCAGTATTTAATCTCCTCAAATGAACGATTGATGTAGCTGTTCTGTTTCCATTTTGTTCTGTTTTCATTTCATTTTGCTTCATTACAGGCTACTGCTAGTCTGTCATGAAAGCATCAACTAAATCTGGCTTGTGTCTTCAGAAATATTGCTAATTAGAAGTGGCGAAACACAGCTGTCAGCTCACTATACAGTATGCATCATATCGCAATACCATTTGTGAGGTTGATTGGCTAACCAGCATCAGAAATGAAGAAACAATATGGCATAATTCAGTGATTTCTAGCACTTCCCTGACCTTAACGTACCCCATGGGCATTCTAACACGGTGAAACTCACTGGCTGTAACGCAGTAAATGAGTACTAATGAGTACATAGTTGATAGTGAAGGATCTACTGTTGGACCTTTGTGTCCTGCCATCCGCTAGGTGCTCCTCTAATCGTTTAACATTTAACCACGATGGCATTATTTGAAAACACCTCTCACTCTGCCAGGTAAATTAAATAAAAATAACATTGTATCTAAGTGTGTCTCTTTCTGTAGTATGTTTTTTTTTCCTCAGTTTCCAGAAGTAATAAAAGTAACTGTTTTTATTTATAAGAACTAGTAAATTATGGTTAATTTTCAGTGATTACTATGTCCACTGTTAAATCTCATTGCTGGTGTCTTGCTTAGTTTATACAGAAATACATTTTTCAGTTGCCAAATAACTTACAGTAGCGATTGTAACAGGCAGTGTTTAATTAGTTTCTTTTAAATGTGACAAACACAGACCTCGTCTGCCTTTGAGTAGTAAAAAAAAGTAAATGGTTAAACTCTCGTCCACAGGGAAGGAAAACTCTGGTATTGTACGTAGGCAGATTTCACACTGATATGTTGACCGAGGACAGATATATAGTCTAATTGAAATACAGGAAAGGTGCCGGTTTCTAAATTATGCGTCATAAGTGAAACCAGGGTGGGAAATATGTGGTGATGAGGTGGTCTCAAGGCAAAAACACGCCAGTAACAACAACTAGGAATGACCATGGAATGAAAAGCACATTCTTTTTGTGCTGGCAGATGATTAATGTAAAAATGAGTGTGCCACAGAATTTGCTTAAACATTTTTCTTAATCCGTTAGTAAAGTAAAAAATGACTTGTGGAGTTACTTATGTATTAGTTGGAGAGACTAGTATGCTCTTACTGAAGGTAGCAATAATATCATATGCCCTTGTATAGACATTTTGTTCTGTTATTATCTGGGAGGGGGGTTGGGTTATATAAAAAGAAATGATTTCTATGACTGGTATGCAGATCTGCACATTTGAACACTGCAGGCTGATGGAGCCACAGGAAGTGTCCGTATCTCTATGAATCAGGCCTTGTAGGCCGGAAGAGTTATATATTTTGCAGAAGTTATGGATTTCTTTCTTGTCTTCGGTTTCTTTTTTTTGTCCGGAATACAGAGTAGTTCATGGGGCTAGCCTCTCAATCAGTGTTAACTCCTGCCCCAAGTTTGATTCATCTTGGTAACATACTGATCGACTGATCGTAATTATTGTGGGGAATGTGAGGAGGGATGATGAAAGTGATTATGGGTCAAAAGCCTCTTGGTTTTCTGTCTCGGGTTAGTAATTTGGGGTTTTTGTCTTCTGTATTATTACTTCATAGCCAGGGGGTTCTTCTTCAGACTAGAAGCACTGTGTTGTGTGAGTCTGGCCTCTGGTGTCTCCTCCCATGCTGCCCGTGGTCCTCCTGACCACCCTTAATGCTTGTATCATCTCCTGAGGTCTCTTTGTTTTGATGTCAGCTCTAGTTTACTTCCCATTACCCCACTGCAGACAAATGGACACACTGTGCTGTATGTTTTGTATCCTCATTAATTTGATCAGGGTATTGAACCTGCACCCGGTTTCCCAGAATGCACTGTGATGTTCGGACCTGCTCCCGGACGTCGATGCTATCTATGAATGCAGGGAAACTGCAGGCAAATTAGGATTTTGACAATAGAAGCTTGTGTATTGTGCTGTTGCATGTTATGATGCAGTCTTTATTTGTTAAATTCAGTCTCATTCCCAATTAGTGCTCCATCTTAATATTCTGGATGCTGGTTTCTCTCATACTTCGTTTGATTTCATACCAACATCTGTGGTTTCTTTTAGCAACCTGCACTGCTTTTCATCAATTTACTGGTCTGAACTAGGGGCCAACTGAGCTGGTAGTTCATCCTTTTCCCTCCAGACTGGATATACTGGTGTAATTAGTCATCAAACATTGGCTTTTCCTTAGGTAAACAAAACGGGAGCCGCACATGATGTACCACAATTTTGTTTTAGGTGCTGTGGATTTAGTATGGTGTCACAGTCAATGTTGTCCAGGTAGCATCAAATGCTAAAGGCTCCCTAAACAACTTGGATGCCCAACAGACATGAGGAACCAGTCACTCAAAATACTTGCTCCAAATTTCCAGTTGTACCTGAATCATAGGTTTATCGGAGTATGGCAGCTTAGAGATCTTATAGCTTAGAGCTAAAGGGATTCCGCCCAGCATAAGCTGACCCACGCAATGCTCTTTACAGTTGCATACTTACTGATGTCTGCTTTCACGTTGAATAGAGAGCTGCTTTTGGCTTTTATAAAGTTCTTCCTTCATTGAGTTGTTAGTCAGTGGGGAGCTACAACAATACTCGTTTAGGGCTTTCAATATCTGACTAATAACATGCTCTGCCAGTATTTTTGGCTGCCTGTCAATGCGCTGTAAAACCCTGAAACGTGCTGACGTTCACGTATTGAGGCAGCCACATTAGGAGAGTTTTCCCAGTGGGCGTGAAAGTACATATTCTTTTTGTTTATTCCTCCCAGCTGCGTGCAGCCTCACCTTGGGTCCATTGTTTTACAACACATTTTACATCGAATGCGTCACCTTTGCTCCCTGAGTAATAGTGTATTCTTAATTTCAAGATCTGAGGATGGACCAGAATGCAATGCAGTCCACGTACTGGTACAGTCACGGTGACTTAAGCGATTCAATGCGTGCCACCCAACAAACTTATCGTCAAAGCTTAGTGTGTGCCACCTTTTTGCGTCACGCAAAACTTTAGGTAGAATTTCTAATGGTTATGCTCACCGCATTATGCAAATGAGCAGCAATTGAGCAACAAGGCTTCGAAAACCCAAGCTGGGATGGGTCAATGTGTGCTGTCAATCACCTGCCATCCTGTCTTGCTTTCTATTGGTTACTTAATCCATTCCCATTGGCTATATCAGGCAATGATTGACAGCTCACGGTAATCCTACTATCTACAGCATGTTTCAAAGCCTCATTCTCTTCCAAGAAATTAGCATGCCTCTTTCATTGTCGAGCTCATTTATATTGCATGCTGCAGGTGTCCTGGGATGTGTTGCATCTTGCAGTCATATTTAACCTCTTATAATGCATAGAAAGTGAATTTTTGATGCTCCATTTGCAAAGCTGGTGAAAGGTGTGCAAGATGGAGAGCATTGCACTGATAGGTTACCAGCTTTTGTGTATCTCCAGCTTAGGCCTAAATATAGCCTCTGAACAGGAGAAGTGCTCGTTGGTGCCACCAGGTAAACATGTAGGGAGTGTCCCTCTCCAGCCATGGCGTAACGCAGTTGGCGAAAAGTGTTTCTCAACGCAGTGGTAGCGTGGAGTTGATTTCCGGAGCTGGGTGGAGGGTGAAGTTGCATTTCTGCATGAGATGGTGAA